GTTGGAATAGTGTCTAAGGCTGCAACTATATTAGCCAAGTATTTGACCCGATTGTGTATAGTCCTTTTGGGTTGCCTTCAAAATAGCAACTTGACAGGATGATTTATAATGAGAGAAGAAATATTATTAATATATTATGAGAATAATATAAGGAATAGTAATATTATTATTTAATTAATATAAGTCATAAATTAATTAGGAATTAATTTGGTGACTTAAAGAGATTAATTAAATAGAAGGGCATAAACTGTCAAGTGTATGATAGTTGTACTTTGGGCTATAATCCCTTGAGGATAAAGGGGGACGGTTTTGAGGGATTTGGATAGACCTTGATTTCGTTCAAGGATTATCATTAGGGTATTGGATTGCTTAGGGCCTAAGTTATCCAATTAGGGTTTAAAGGTGAAACCCTAGGAGCCTTACAAGTATAAATAGACCAAGGGGTTGATGAAATCAGCATTCTTGCCTTTGGAAGAACCCTGGCCGATTTCTAGCCCCCTCCCCTCTCTCTCTAATCATCCTCTTGCTAGTTGGTGTTTGTAAGCCATTAGAGGAGTGACACTTGTGACTCTAAAGCTCCAAGGACAAGATGATTCAAGCAAGTGATTCAAGGTAATCTTCTAAACCTGATTCCTTATTGTTGTTATGCAAGAATTACCATTAGAAGTCTTGGATACAATGCATGTTCAATTAGAGAAACCTAGATCCAAGAATTAGGGTTTGTATGTGCACATAGGAATGTTCTTATGGCTAAAACCCATCACATGTATCCTATGACGTGTACTCGACCTGATGTAGCTTTTGCCTTGAGCATGGTTAGCAGGTATCAGGGGAATCCTGGCAAGGCACACTGGACTGCGTTAAAGAATATCCTCAAGTACCTATGGAGGACTAAGGACTGGGTCCTTACCCTCGGTGGGAGTGATGACTTGAGAGTTGTAGGGTATAGTGATGCTAGCTTACAAACTGATAGGGATAATTTCCGCTCTTAGTCGAGCTGGGTCTTTACCTTAAACGGGGGAACAATCACTTAGAAGAGTTCCAAGCAGGAGACAGTGGCTGATTCCACTTGTGAATCAGAGTATATAGCAGCGAGTGAGGCAGCAAAGGAGGCAATATGGCTAAAGAAGTTCATTGGAGACCTTGGAGTTGTACCAGCTAGAAAGAAGCCCAAGGAAATTTTCTGTGATAGTGAAAGTGTTGTTGCCTTAGCCAAGGAACCAAGGGATCACGGGTGATCCAGACACATCAATAGAAAATATTATTTTATCAGACATCGCATAGAAGAAGGAATCCTCGTAGAAAAGAGGGTATCATCAGATTAGAACCCAGCAGATCCCCTCACGAAGGGACTGAGTAGGGTTAAGCATCTCTAGCATGCTCGGAGCATAGGGCTGAAGGATGATATGAGTTTTAGTAGTTAGATAAATTATGAAATTTGTGAAGTGTAATTGACAATTTATGATGAATAAAAGTTGTGTTTATTTATGAGTAAAGTGTTACTATCTTTTGTAAATCATTTACTATAATTTCTTTTGCATGTTTTCACTTCCAGAATAGTATGTTGTGGTTTCACATATTATTCAAATTTTCCACGGTCATTCATATGTTGGAAGTAGATATGAAGTAAGACTGTCATGAAGTTGGTTGTAGGTGTCAGTATATAAGACAACACTTCATGAGTGCTCATAAGTTCTGAGTATTGGAATCAACCCACGCTCACTGGAATCAATTCATGGAATTCTATCTCGAGTGATCGTGAGACGGTAATATCATATAAGCCTTCAAACCTATAGATATGATTTGTTACTTATGAGTTATTTATGCATTGATTGTACGAAAACGCATTGGTAACTCGATGTTATAAAATGTGCTTTTGTGTGTAATTCAATGAGTGGTAGAACAAACATATGAGTTGAAGTTTATCTGTTCCTTCTTGGATTAGAAGCTGAAATCTGGGCCCCTCGATGATTTTGTTTTGACCTATGTACCGGGCCCGGTCAGAACTAAGTTGATGTGTTCAATTAAGTTCTTTGTCAAACAAATCAGAAATCGGGAAACAAACTGTTGGACAATAAATAAGACAGTGTTCCATGTATTTGTCCGGCTGATATCTAGAACAGAGGATTATATGATCACTTATCTTAAATGGCGTATCAACATCTTCTTAGTTCCGAGAGACCTTGAAAGAACCATGATTGTCGATCGGTTCGTGAAGTATTGTTGTTATAGTTATTAGACTTATCCAAGTGGGAGACTGTTGGATAAGGTGTCTAAGTCCATAACTATTTCTGGTAAATACTTGACCCGACCTTGCATGGTCCATTTGGGTTGCATGGCACCATGCAATTGGATAAACTAAATGAGAGAAATAACACATATGGTTTATTAATATATTATAAGTTCTAATATATTAATAATATTATTTAATTAGTTTTGATCAAGAATTAATTTAGAATTAATTAAGTGATCAAAAGAATAACTAATTAAATATATGGGTAGATTATGTAAATCTTCCATATCTTATATAGTGGGCTAAAAGGCTCCATGGATTATCAAGTTGGGTTCCACCCATAGGATGCTCCATGGATTTGACCCATGGATTGAGAAATGAAGAGTCATGTTACATTAGGGTTTTACCTAATGCAACACACTATATAAGGACCATTTCTCTCCCCAAAATCGGCTACACTAGAGAAACAAGAGGGCTTGGCCGATTTTGAGTGTGTTAGGGTATTCTCTCAAGTTTATACTTTGCATTTGGTGTTGTGTGAAGCATTTGAGGCATCACACTTGAGGTGCTAGGCTCACAAGGTTTCAAGGAACACTTACAACAACAAGGTATGTAGTCATATCTATTATTCAAGTTAAAATTGTTCCCCATTTATGCTAGATAGGATCATAGCCTTGGAAATCAACTTTGCATGATAATTAGACAAACATAGATCCAAGGTTATTAGGGTTGCATGTACACTTAGAAAGTGTTAGAATGCTCAAAATCCAACAAGAAGGCCCTCTTCCCTCCTTGGTCCATGTAGCAGATTTTGAATAAGGCGATTGAAAATCCGAATGATTACAGGTTAGAGTCGGTTGTCTCATTTGAAATGAAGAATACTTCGTAATCTCAGCTTGACTTTCCAATCAATCCGAATGCCTTTCTATTTTTTTGTTTTGATAAGGTTGAGAAAGCTCCATTTTCGGATAACGACGTCAATCACATGTTTTTCTGCTTTTCTCTTAAGCACGGGAATCCTCAATATGAGACTTGGAGTTCGATGAAGATAGCAGTTGTGAAAGTTTTTGGTCCAGTTGAAATAGAAATCTTTATCAATGTTCAGTTTAAAGCTTCACTAGGGGCAAGGAAATTAATTTTTGAACTTACCCTCGTAGATCTGTCGTGCCTAAATCCATATGATTGGATTTCTTTCTTCACTCTCTTGTCAAAAGATGATCAGAAATTCGAACCAATTGTGGTACATTTGAAAAGTATGTTAGGTGTTGTTTGTTTTTCTGAAGCCAAAACGTCTGCAGTCTGCAGACCACATCTGCAAGCCTCTGCAGCAGAAGAGGTGGACCAAACGTTTGTAGTCTGCAATAAGAAGACTGTTCGTTTTTTAATGTCTACAGGCTGATGAAACTAACTGAATATTAAATAAAATGATTTTACAAACATAAAAAGATTTCTCAACACCAAAATTTTAATAAAAAAAGTCATAAAAAATTAGAAATAAAATTCATGCAATAAAAGTAGTCACAAATTTGTAAAAATTTGGTTTTGCAATAACAATTTCATTTAAAACAATTCAATCTATATTGTGCATCAACTGATTAGCAATTTCATCTCGTAATTGTGTCATATATTCACGGTCTACTGCAGTACCATTTGTTGGAATCTCATCTTGATCATCATTAAAGGTCCCATTGTTATTTCGAAACAAGACATTGGGTTCATCGTATCGTGCGAAATACTCATCACTCAGTCCTTCTCTCCTTATAAAATTATGAAGCGCGAAACATGCCATGGCAATGTTTCTTTGTGTCGCAAACGGGAATGGTGCCATCCTCTTCAATATAGGGAAACATGCTTTCAAAACACCAAAAGCACGCTCAATGACATTCCTAAGTTTCGCATGTCCATGGTTAAATTTTTCTTTATTGGTCAATGCACGTCTTTTACGAAAATCTCTAAGCCAATACCTCACATTACGACAAGGGGCCATAAATCCTCGAGTCTGTGCATACGCGACATCACAAAGATAATATTTGTCTTTAAAAAATACAAAACACTAATGATATTTGAAACTAAGATTAAAAAAATTATAAAAAAACAAAAAATTACCTGGTGCTGGAAATGGGAATGAAGCTTGTGGATCAGCTACTGCTTCTGATAAAATTCTAGAGTCATGTGCTACCCCTTCCCATCTGGCCACAACAAATGTAAAAATCATATTGAAGTCACAAATTGCCAATACATTTTGGTAGCAATCTCCCTTTCCCCTACTTCTATATAAGTCTTGTTTCTTAGCAGGGACAACAATATGTATCAAAGTGCCATCAAGTGCACCAACCGCTCCTTTGAAAACCTGTTGTAGCCTCCTGTTATGTCCTGGAATTTTTGGATTCGAATTAAAAGAAGTTGGTACTATAACATCTTATGCGAAAAGCATCATTTTTTCCAACACTTCATAAAAAAATTTATGAATTGTTTGCTTCGAGTGTTGAAATCTCCGCTTGATAATCACGTAACGTTGATTATGGTCGATCATCATAAAAAACATAGCCATCTTTTCCTCAACCGATACATGTTTGTTGTCCTTTAATGAGTATTGTGCTCTAAAATGAGCACATAGTCATACAAATGAGTCGCGAGACATGCGTAACATTTCAACACATTGTAAACGATTACGAATGTAATAACTCCAATGTGTATTCATGTCTCGTCATTTCCGAATCATTATCCCGCAATCGTTTCATACCCCTCTTCCAAAAATAACGGATGTATAGGTACATAAGAATTACGAGACGTAACTTTTGATCGTGATCCATTATGAATCTAAAATCAACAAAGTAGACCTTTTATAAAAACATTACATAAGTCATATTTCAAGTAGCAAAAAAAACATTACATAAATCATATTTCAACTAGCAAAAACACATTAGATAAAACATATTACATGTAGCAAAAACACATTAGATAAAACATATTACATGTAGCAAAAACACATTAGATAAAACATATTCCAAGTAGCAAAATATCAAAAAATAGTTTCAACAAAGGCAAAAGACCTAACAAAATAGTTCAAATAAAAGCAAAAGGACCTAATAAATAGTTTCAACACAATAAAAATCATCGGACAATATTTCCGTCCTTCAAAACTCGTAAACTTGTACCTATCATCTCAAGCCATCCTAGTAATATCTTTGGAACATCGGGAAAATGCATCCACATCTCTCTCATGTTCATAGTCCCTCCAAAAATATGATATGCAACAAAGCGTAAAGGATCTGTAGGGCCTAACTGAATCACCTCTAATTTCTCTAAACATTGAGGAATTGTATACCATTTAGTCAAACTTTGTAGAGCTTTTTTCATTTCAAATGCTAAATCATCAGCAGTAATAGAAGTTTCATCAAGTGAAGAAGCAGACGATGAGGTACTAGGAGCCTTAGGATTTGAGCGTTTAGCCCTTTTGTTGGGGTAACCGGATGGTGAAGCAGTAGAAGGTGAAGCAGAAGAAGGTGAACCAACAGAAGGTGAAGCAGCAGAAGGTGGTGGCTCATGAAAAGTCTCACTAGCATAATGACAAGTGTCATCACCATCATCATCTAATGCAAGAAAAGGGGTGGTGGTAATCTGAAGTTGTGGAAGACGACAAGAGGATGCTCCAGCTACTGAAGATGATTGGGTTGAGTAACTCCTAAAATTACCAGTGGCACTATTTCCATCAAAAAGACGAGCACAAAGATCTGGAAAAGGCAGTGGCATTGTTTTCAACGAAGCAGCCTTCAGATGCCCCTAAACACAAATATAACAAAAAATAGTGTAAGAATATTTGGCAACTTCAAACATAAATGTTTAAAAGTGTTTGTTTGATATTGTACATTCTTAAAATCATCCCACTCCTCGACTATTAAGTTAAAAGTGTTTGTTTGGGAATTATATATATTACCAGTTTTGTTTTTTAAATATACTTATCCTGTGTATTTGGCTTTCAGATTGTCATATGCATTTTTCATTTGTTTTTGACTCAAGTCAACACCAAATTTTTCCTTAAGAACTCTTCCAAGTCTTATCCATGAATCTTTCTACAAACGCAATCCTTTTCTACCAACACTCTCTAATTCTTCAATACAAGTATCCACTAAGCATTTTAATTGCTCATTGGTCCATTGATGTTTATCTCCCATTTCTAATAACCAATATAGCATTCACAATAAAGAGTCAACAACTAACGATTTTCAACAACAATTTTTAGCACATTCAACAACAATTTGAAACAATAATAAGTATTTTCAGCCTCCTATTTTAACAAAAAAAAAATAGCCTCTTCTTTCAACAATTTGAAACAATTTTTAGCCTATTCAGCACAATCTAACAACAATTTTAGCAAAAAAAAAAACAATCAAAAAACAATTTCAATAAATAAGAATTTTCATCAAGAAAAAACTTGATTTCAACAACTAACATCATTATTTCACAGCATTATTTCAAGAAAAAACTTGATTTCAACATATTCTAGGCAAATTATATCATCCACAAATCAACAATCATATACATATACACTACCATATTCATCAAATAATAATTTTCATCAAGACAAAACTTGATTTCAACAACTAACATCATTATTTCAAGAAAAAACTTGATTTCAAAACATTCTAGGCAAATCATATTATCCACAAATCAACAATCATATACATATACACTATCATATATACATACACAATCAACAATCATATACATATACCAAAGGGTCATTGACCTAGCGGTAAGGAGTGATCTTCTCATAGGAGAGGTCATGGGTTCAAGTCTCGGTGGAGATATAGGTGGTTATTTAGGAGTAGGTTAGTTAGTTTGCCGTTAAAAAAAAAAAGAAAAAAAAAAAGAAAGAAAGAAAGAAAACAATCATATACATATACACATTCACGATCAACAAAAGAATATGTTATCTTTTGCTTGGAAGTTCTATATATTGGCTTCCAATCAAAAAAAATTATAGATCCCAGGTGTGAAAAAAACAGGAAGACAGCTTGCAGGTAAGGTTTAACAAGAATGACAGCTTGCTGGGAATTGTTTACAGGTAGTATTTTCAATTTTAACAAGAATATATGATAAATTATACACCTCCAAGATTTGAATATGAAGGAATACTCATCAAAATTAATATTTTCGGGGAAACAATGATGCAAATCAAAAAAGAAGTTGAATTGAAATTGAATTGAAAGAGAGAGGAGGGACGAAGACGACATACCTGTTCGTTGAAATCGAGAAGTAACGCTTGTTGTTCGGAGGCGGCGATCGGAGATGCGACCGGAGAGGAGGGTGGCGACGGGTGGTGCGGCGATAGATCGGAGGTGATGGTTGGTCGACGAAACTTGCTGGACTAAAGATGGAGTTGTCGAGTTATCTGTGTAGAAAGACGGGAGGTTTGGACGAATGGAGGCGGAAAAAAAACGCGTGTTTTTTTTAGGTCAAATGAAGTTGGCAAACATTAGAAGAGGTTGGCCCATACCTGTGTGGTGAAGACCTCCCGCAGACGTTTTTTATGTTTGCGCACTTTAGAAAAACAAACGCACTTCAAACCTATAAGCCTGCGCGTGGTCTACACCGTGCAGACAGAAGACCTCCCGCAGATCTGCAGAGTAAAAAAAACACCCTCTTAGTCTCTCACATTCAAGGAGTTGGAAAAATGAATGTGGAGATTGTTGCAGTGCTAAGAAAGAAACCCACAGAACTACCTAAAGAAGCTTTCAGTGATATCGACAACATAAAAATGGGAAATCCGAAAGGGTAACTAGATCTTGCCGTTTCAACTACGAGAAGGAAAAAAAGTTCAGAGGTGGTTGTTGTAACATCCTGAGATAGGTATATCTCATTAACCCTTGTTTTTTGGTAGTTGTCAAGTTTGGCCCTTTATTTGAGAAAAGGTGGTAGCTGAGTACGCAGGGTGTACGCGTGTATACACTCAGAGTACTTATGTGCGTGATTTGGACGTAGAGACGACCTAGTATGCTGGGTGTACCAGAAGGTATGTTGGGTGTACTAGGCTCAGAGTGAAAACCCTAACTGTAGGGTGTGTCCCTATTTAGGGAACATGATTGCCTCATTTTTTACCACCATTTCCAGCCTTCAACCCCCTCAAAACCCTAGTTTTCGTTCCTTTAGCTTGAGTGTCCAGTTGTGAGCTTATAAGTGTTCTTGTTGGATTTTTCAAGTGAAGAATAAGCATTGAAAAGAATAAAGTTGGATTCCAAGCTTTGGATCTGAGCCTTTCTATGGTTGGAGCATCATTTGAAGGAATAAATCCTAAAGCTTTCTCATCCTTTTTTATGTCTGCATATTACAGTCCATTTTAGGGTTTTTGGTCCCAAAGCTTGAAGCTTTATGAGTTGTTGAACTCCAAAGCCTAATATATGTCCCTTTGAGTGTCTTTAATGGAGTGGATTCATAAAAATGGGGTCTTGGACGTCAAAACCACCCCATGCATGAGATATGAGCATATTTGGGTGAAAAGAGTGAGAAGTTTTGGGTTTGGGATTTTCTCAGCCATTCAAAGGGTTAAAGTCACAAACTTTATGGAGTATGAGCCTTTAGAAGTCTAGATCTGAGAGTGTAGCTATGGTCTTAACGAATTAAGACAAAGAGAGTGGGAAAAGCAAGTGTAGGACGTACGCTGAGCGTACTCTCAAGTACGTGCAGCGTAGCGTCGACGATCCACGATGCATGCATGGGGAGGTAGTACGCCCAGCGTAAAGGGGTTGGACGTCCAACGTACGCGCTGTGGTTTACTTTTGTTGACTTTTAGGGTTTGGTCAAATTATGAACTATAGAGGCAATGGAAGGGTAAAATTTTCTTTTATCCTTTTGTGAATATGTAATGGTTTAGCCTAGCTTCTTTGAGGGTCGTTATTAATTAGAGATAATTATGGTATGTGTTAGGCGGACGCTAGACCCGTGATTTGAGTACGAGGTTTATTTGATTGCTTACGAGGTAAGTCTTCTCATTATACTTACCATGAGTGGTAACATTGTGTTAACCGAGGGTGTTGTATGTTTATATTGAGTATTGTGATATCTTGCATTATATCTTTTTTTATTTATGTTGTGTAATGTACTAAGCTTTACTGAGACACATTGACCGGAGGGTCTTATTCGAGATATAGCCAAGAGAGGTTAATGAGATGTGTGTGGTATTTTGGGGAACTCACTAAGCTTCGTGCTTATCATGTTATGTGTTATGTGGTTCAGGTACTTCTCAGGATCACGAGACGGCGCCGACTTGATTGCACACACGAGACCGAGTGATGTTTTTTTTTTGAGGATCCTTTATTTTATTTAAACAATTATGGATATGTGTTTTTGATAATTTGACACTTTGGGTTTTTTGTGAAATGTGTTAATGGGAATTGTGTGATTTTAAATTGAAAAAATTGTTTGAAAATTTACGGTGTTACACTTGTTCTTCTAATCAGACAAACATCTTTATTCTACATCTTGTCTGAACTACATTATGGGGATTACTGAACAATGCAAAGTGAATGATGTTGCGGATAAGAAGTGCTTCGCAGATATGATCAAATGGTATATCTTGGTTCACAACACTTTGCTTGGATTAATGTGGAAGCTGTTCAAAGCTCAGAAACGTCAGCAGCACTGGAGAATCTATCTTTCTTAACAGACACAAAGGGGGAGATTATTGGGATAAATAATGTTATGTCAATTGTTTTGTACTAGAATAATCCATTTTGTAACGGGTCGTACCTGTCCACCCTTGGTTTAATGATATTAGGGTTAGACTATTTATAGTACATGCATGCACCGTTTTAGGGTTAACGAGTTGTGTTGCCCTACGTTGTCTTTACAGAGAAGTTGTTGTTTAACTCTTCTAAGGTTGTTGAATCTAATCATTTAACGCCATTTTCATCTTCATTGTTCTTATTGTTTTGTTGATTACACTTGTTAGAATCTTTCGATCAATTAAATATTGTTTTAACATGAATATCATCCAAAGAAACAATCGTTGATAGAAAGAGGACAAAAAATCGTGAACAGCGATATATTCACATCTTCATGTGGGACGACCTTATTTATTGAGACTGTAAGACGCAATTCTAACCACTCATTTAGTAGATAAAACAAAAACGTTTTTAAAATGCAAAATAATTGAAATTTTTCGAAAAAAAAATTTCCAATATTATTTTCGAAATATATTTTCCGAAAAAAAAAATTAAAAAATACCAAATTTTTTTTTTCAAAATACATTTTTTTACATATTGTAGTAGAATATTAGAATATTCTAGTAGAATATTAGAATATTCAACATATGTGACAATCTAGTAGAATATTTTAACATTCTAAAAATTACATTAGAATATGTAGAGTGAAATATTCTATTAGAATATTTCATGTATTTAAAAAAAAATAAAAGAAAAAGATGTTAAGTTTTTTATTTATTTATTTATTTATTTATTTTATTTTAGGTAAATAATGTTCCGAAAATAATAATTAAAAAAAAAGAATTTTTGGAGTTTTCCTTTTATTTTGAATATTAAAATTATTTATAGATTTGATCTCACGGTCTCACAAAATTAACATGGTTTCAAATTAACCGGAATATATATATATATATATATATATATATATATATATATATATATATATATATATATATATATATATATATATTAAAATTGTGCTTACAACTCGACGTGGACAAATGAACGGTGAAAATATATTCTCTTTTTCACATTTGAATTGTAAAGAAAGAAAGCCTAAATGATTGAAGAATAAGAACATATAGAAGAACCCCAAATGCATACATGTGGCTCACCTAATTTTTAGGGACGAGGAAGTGGGATCCTACCCACACAAATATAAAGACACATCGTTTTCTTTGTTTGCCAAGAATATGTTTGTACAAGCCCTTAGGCCTCTATGTAAACTGTAAAGTGCCCTTCCTTTTTTTCCCATCTCTACAACACAAAAAAGATATTAGTATTTGGGGTTTTATTATCCAAACAACTAACACAAGTAACATCACAACTTGTCCCTCTAACATTCGTATTCCAATTCCTTTTGCTTTCTCATATGCCAAATTCTTCAAAAAAATATTTAATGACCGGGTACTAGCCTACATGCACGGGTACTGATTCACTATTTGTTTTTTGTTTTTTGTTTTTTGGTTTAGAAACCCTTCTTTTTTAGGGTATATTACGATGGATGCCCACATTGTTGTATGTTTGTTGTACGTGTAAAGTTGTGATGTGGATGGATTATGATCTTTCTTTTTTTGTCTACATGAAACATCAATCCTTTTATGTATCTATAAAAGGGTAGTAAACTAGTCATGGATAGCTTATAAGACAAGTCTCATTTTTTGAATGCATATATATTGGCTACAATTATTCCATTGATGAGGTAACAATTGCAAAGGGAATGTCTTGTTGTAGAGCATTAAAATGGTCACTTTAATGAGGATCTATTCCTTTGACTAGGTACCCTGAATATATGTTTTAACCTTCGTATCATGATAATCTCATTCTTTTTTTTTTTTTTTTTTTTTTTTTGACTTTGAACAACTTTCAAATGATTAGTATATATTCTTCAAAAAAAACAAAAGATTTTTGTGCTTCTTATGTAATCTTTTTATGGGATACGATCATAATAAAAGGAAAACAATGAACTTTGTAGCATGGCGATTTTATCCGGGGATCATCGTGAAATATACCATGATTGATGCAAATGTCTTACTAAATATTATCAAAATCTGCTAGCTTTAATTAACAGATCTTGCTTCCATGAGCCCTACATAACTCGGTCATCTCACCATCTCATGTTCAATTTCTGATTAGTTATATAAAATTAAGAAAAAAAAAATATGATTCATATTTCTTTTTCACAACGAACATGACCTATGATAAATCTTCTAATACCTTTCATATATAAAATCAAAAATACGTAAAAAATATTAAAAAGGTCTCAAGTTTTAAGGACATGAGTTGTAGATAAAAGTTGAGACCTTTTATTTCTTTTACGTTGTAACACCCTCTTCTGAAAATGTTTGTTTATAGATTTCAGAGGCCCAGGCTAGGGGCATTTTGGTCTTTTATGGGTTTTTGAAGTTTTTATTCGAGAGGTTTGGAGCCGGAGTGTGTTGCAAGAAGCATAGGGATTCTTTCCACCTTTTCGTGGATATAAAGTTCGTCGGAAACGGACTCAGAACAAAGAAGTTATAGCACTTTGAGGTTATTGACATTAAAGGTCCCTTAATGGAAATTGATGACAAGAAGGGCCACACATGGAAGGTGGTGAACGCGCGAGTACGCCCGATGTATAAAGGGATAAGATCGCGGGTGTTTTTGGCGTACACCCAGCGTACAGAGTGTATGCCCAGGATACGTCTAATGTCCAGAAACCTCAACTTTAGGGTGAGCCACTATATAAAGAACACAATGGCTCAAACCCTAGCCTCTGTATCCGTCCCCCAATCTCAGTGAAACCCTAGAACACCTCATCTCTTTATCCTTGGGCGATTTTGACTTCAAGTAACTCATTTTGGGGTGGTGTAAGCTTGGAAAAGGCAAAGAAGGAGTTGACAAGGAAGAACCTGGAAGATTGGAGCTTGTAGATCTTGAATAGCATCCTCATTTGGAACTCTTTGGAGATATAAATTTAACAAATTTACTTAAGGGTGCTCAGATCTAGTGTAGTGTGGTTTTGGAGATAGTTTTTGTCCCAAGATTGGACCAATATGATGAAATTCCATTTGT